TGGACAGCCTTAGCACAAATTATGATAATTAGAACTTAGTGCCCAAAGTGGCACGAAATAAAAGAGAGGTTGATGGTGCCCTCAAGTAGAGAACTTCCTAGGATAGGGAAGTGGACTTGCACAATATGTGCAATGCAAGGTGTCAGAGACACATAGGAAATTGACTTCAAGAAGTCAAAAGTAAACGTTCCAAAGTGCAAAGGTTATGTCAATGGAAACTGAGACTACTCGAGATGGAGTAATGGGATTGAGATAGAGACAGTGTCTCTAACGGGTTTAGCAAGAACTAAACCAATAAACAAAAAGAACCACCACCAGTGGTCCAATCAGTCTCTAAGTTGGAGAGATTATCCTCCTTAGAGGATAGGCAAGGCATGGTAAGCCTTCAGTATCAAACCATTGACAAATATTGGCAAGGTGCCAAGAATGGAAAGGGTAATACATGTTGGTATTACTTTATAAAATAGTTTATCGTTCAATGAGGACATCGAACTTCGTTTATAGGTGGTGGAGTTGTGAGACACAAAATCCCTAGGCCCCAAAGTGGAGCCGGAAGGGTGCCATGTGGTAGTGGCTGAAGCGAAAACCAAACGAGCGTAACATGTTTGGACTAAAAGCTCCAACTTGAAAGGTCGAGAGCGGGAGTGGAACTCCCAACGAAGTGCTCAAGGAACAAGCACGAAGCAAGAAATAAGTGAGTCTCTAGAAAAGGGACACAAGAGGACCAACACATGACACGTGGCAGAATCCGAGATGGACCCGAGAAGGACCCGAGATGGAGTCCAAGATGGACCCGAGATGGAGTCCGAGATGGACCAAGATGGAGTCCAAGAGGGACCCAAGATGGAGTCCGAGATGGACTAAGATGGAGTCTGAGATGGACCCGAGATGGAGTCCGAAATGGAGTCCGAGATGGAGTCTGAGATAAACCCGAGATGGAGTTCGAGAAGGACCCAAGATGGAGTCCGAGATGGACCGAGACGGAGTCCGAGATGGACCGAGATAGAGTCTGAGATGGAGTCCAAGATGGACCCGAGATGGATTCGAGATGGAGTCCGAGAAGGACCTGAGATGGAGTCCGAGGTCGAGACCGAGACCGGGACCGATACCGAGACTGGGACCAAGACCGAGTCTGAGTTTGAGTTCGAGTTCGAGTCCAAGTCCGAGTCTGAGTCCGAGTCTGAGTCCGAGTCTGAGTTTGAGTCTGAGAGGGTGAAAGCCTAAAGCATTCATCTCCCAGACCCTAGGGGGTTTGGTGAGCTCCAAAAGTATAGTAGGGGGAGGACTGTAGTGGAGCCAATTTGGCCAGGAAAGGCCAGTTTGGCCTAGGAAGGCCAGACCTAGTGTTGGGTGATGAACTAACCACTAGGAAGTCCAAGACTAGAGTGAATATGGATCGACAAGCGGGGTAGCATGGTGAAGTGTTCAAGAGCTAGTTCCCCTAGGAGATCGATTGGCTGATGCTCCCAGTCCAGGTGTGGGTGGCACTACCTACTTGGATACCTAGTGTGGCTCAACGGAACCTCGCTCTAAGCCTATGGCTAGGGCACTTAAACGCGGAAGGTGGGGAGAGTACCCATGGGGCTCGCGTAGGGCCACGGTGTTCCGAAATGTTGTCCCGAAGTCCCAAATGGGGGAAAGGAGGAGGAGTAGTCCTCTAGTGTAGTGACTACGGATACGGTCACATGGTGAGGAAGTCCCAGAGTGACAGGGGACTTAGTGGCCAGGCTTGGCAGCTTTGATCTAGTGGCAGTGTTAGTGAACATGGCCATGGACGGAAAAGGGACTTGGTAGGAACTGACAAAGGGATGTTGGGGAAGGTTATTCCCCATGTCTGTGGGC